ACTTTACATAGCTGGCTTATGAGGATTTGACTCCTAAATTAACGCTGAGGAATTTCCCAAACAATTTCAGGGAAATCACGTGGCAAGGAGTACAGTCTAATAACTCAGAGCAGGGGTTCAGGACTCAGACTGCCCGAGTTCAAATCCCTGCTTAACCACCGACTAGCTGTGCGACCTTGGGCTACTTCCTCAACCTCTCACTACTTTCATTCTGCTGGGATCATAAAATGCTACAGCCATTGTGGGAAGCAGCTTGGCCATTCCACAAAAAGAAAGACCACGTGACCCAGCAATGTCTTGACTAGCTATTTACCCTGGAAAATTGCACTCAAATAGATACTTGTACATGAATGTTCATGGAGGCACTATTCACAATAGCCAAGAAAAGTAGAACCAGCCCAAGTGTCCATCAACAGATGAATGGCTAGATAAATTGTGGTCCATTCACAGAACAGAATACTATTAAGCCATAAAAAAGGAATGAAGTGCTGATGCCTGCTACAACACAGAGGGAACTGGAAAACGTGATGCTCAGTGAAAGACACAAACGGCCACAACTCATATGAGTCCATTTATGTGAAATACAGTAGAACCTCTGTAAGCTGACCATCCAAGGAACTATAACAAACCGGGTGACATATAGAGGCAGTCAACGGAAGGAACTAGGCTACTGTACTCTGACGTACATGTGGCGCATGCCTGGTCTATGAAAACAGGTCAACTTAAGGAGGTGGTCAACTATGGAGGTTCTACTGTGTACAGAATAGGTAAATCCAGGAACAGAAAGCAGATTCGTGGCTGCCGGGGGCTCGCAGGAATAGGGAATGGGGGGTGGTTGCTCTGTGGGTGCAAGGTCTCCTTTTGGTGTGATGAAAATGTCTTGGAACTTACAGAAGTGGTGATGGTTGCACAACATGGTGCATGTATGAAATGCCACCGAAGGGTATACTTTAAAATGATTAGCCGTTAATTTTATGTTGTATAAATTTTATCTCAATAAAAAATAATCTCAAGGCAATAGCACTTGCCCTGGAAGCCTAACGTCAGAGGGAAATGAATCGGCCTTGCCTGTCCATGTGAAGGACCAGCCTCACACTAGCTGTCACTGTTGTTACCACGAGGTTTGCGATCTTTGGCAAGTTATTTAACTCAGTTTCCTCTCTGTGAAAAGATATCGACAGCATTTACCCTCCCAGGACTGTCAAGATTAAACTATATAATGTCTTTAGCAGGCTATACACTCCACGAGTACAGGGATTTTTATCTACTTTGTTCACTGATGTATCCTGAGTGCCTAGAACAGAGCCTGGTACAGAGTTGGCATTCAGGAAGTAATTCTTGGGCAAATGGCATTGCTTAACCAATGCCTTATAATAACTGCTCAGCAACATTTAGCCATGTTCATTATTGTGAGCTTGGCTGCCAGATTTTTTTTGAGAGGCCCTACATGGTCTTTTCTAGCACAGGGAAATGAGTACTACTTTCGTGTACTTCATGACAAAGCTGTTTGGAAATCTACCAAATACAGGAGGCTTAGCTGAGCTGAAAATGGAATCTAAGCTCTCACTATTGCTAGAAGGGGAGGTGGTGAGAGTTAGTACAGCTGGCTGACTATCCATCCATCCATCCACTCTACCCCCATTTACCCATCTAGTCACCCATCCACCCATCCATCTGTCCATCGATCCAACCATCCTCCATCCAAACATCCAATCATTCATCCATCCATCTATCCATCCACTCATCCATCTATGCATCCAAACATCTTCCATCCATCCAATCATCCATCCATCTAGTTGTCCATCCATCCACCCACCTTCCCATCTGGCTATCCGATTCATCTAGCTACCTGTATATCTATTCACCAATCCATCTACCCATTCAAACACACATACATACTTATACATATACATACATACTCACACACATACAATGAATGCTTCTGAGTGACAGCAGATGCTCGCGATCCATCGGCAAATGAGCCAGATGCATTCATCTCCTGTTGTCACCAAAGTTACAATTGAGCAGAAAAGGCAGACAATTACAGTTAGGGTGGTGGGAGCTGCAACAGGGGACACCTTGGGTGCTGTGGGAGTCCCCAGAAGGGGTACCAGCTCCAGCCTGAAGGTACAGGGAATGTTTCCCAAAAGCCATCTGCAGAAAGGACAGGGGCTATCAAGATATGAGAAAAGTGGGGGAAGGTTTTTGAGGCAGGTATATTGGAGGGTACCAGGAGGAGGCAGGACACTCATGACCCATGCTAGAAGCTGGCTGCCAAACTCACAATAAACATGGCTTGTCCCTCAGTTTTCTCATCTGGAAAATGAGATAGGAAGAACATCTATCACACAGGGATGCTCCAGAATGGGGCAAGTTGTTAAGCGTAAAGTAGTAAGGTGTGGGTAAATCACAGGGAACAGAGTGAGGGGGCTGGAGGGAGTGGGATGAGTGAGCTTCCAGACAGGGAGGGGGCACCTGTGGGGGCTGCAAAGCCTCACCTGCCCCTTCTCCAGGTGACAACCAATCACCCTTCATTTCGTCCACACATCATGTCTATTTATCTTTACAGCATCTCAAGAAGGGTATTGTTAACATCTTGATTTTCTGCCAGAGTAAACATGCTCAGGGATATTAAGTGACTTGTTCAAGGCCCTGGGGCTGGAAAGTGGCAGGTTAGGAATGAGGAATGGTTCAGGTCTTCCAGCACCAGGGTCTTCTGGAAGATGATCTCTTGGTCCTCAGGAATGAGGGAGCCTTGAGAAGTGGAAGACTTGGACTTTTTATTTTTGAGACAATTTCACTGTTGCCACAGGCTAGAATGGTATGGTGTCAGCCTAGCTCACGGCAACCTCAAACTCCCGGGCTCAAGTGATCCTCCTGTTTCAGCCTCCCAAGCAGCTGGGATTGCAGGTGCCCACCACAATGCCCACCTAATTTTTTCTATTTTTAGTAGAGACAGGGTCTCACTCTTGCTCAGGATGGTCTTGAACTTCTGGGCTCAAGCAATCTCTTGTCTTGGCCTCCCAGAGTGCTAGGATTACAGCCAGTGAGCCACCATGCCCAGCCAAGACGTGGATTTTTATTCTGAATCTATAACTGACCAGCTGGCTGTTTTCTGAACAAATTCTTGTCACCTCTCTTTCAGTCTCCCTGTAGTCAACAAAACAAAAATAGCCATCCATGAAAAGATGCCAGGAATCTATGACTGTGACCTTATTTTGAAAAGCGGTCTTTGCAGATGTGATTAAGTATCTTGGCATGGAGTGGTTACCCTGGGTTATCCAGGTGAACTCTCAAACGCAGTCACATGAATCCTTATATGTGGTAAGAGAGGGAGTGGGGACTTCATGCACAGACAAGGAGAAGGCCATGTGACCACAGAGGCAGAGACTAGAGTGATGCAGCCACAAGCCAAGGGATATCAGCAACCACCAGAAGCTGGAAGAGGCAGGTGCAGATTCCCTCCTGGAGCATCTGAGGGAGCACAGTCCTGCTGACACTTGAAGATCTTGCCTCAGTGATACTGACTTTGTATGTCTAGCTTCCTGAACTGTGAGAGAATAAATTTCCGTTGTTTCACGCCACCAAGTTTGTGGTAATATGTTACAGTAAACTAATATTCAGTTTTTCCTCTGGAAAGGGGCAATAATAAATTCTATCTTACAAGGGTGGTGGTGGAAGCCTTAGAAGAAGTAAGAACATAGGGAGGAATCTAGACAGGATCCAGGATGTATTAAGTGATGAGTAACTATTACCTGCCTTCCTTATCTTGTTCCAAACCCACTACGGCTTCTGCCTGAAGCTGTTAAGACCTGGTCATCCCCACCCTACCATGGGCCAGCTGTGTGACAAGAAGTACCTGCTCTCTCAGCTTCCATCTCCTCATCCATCAGTGAGAGGAACAGTACCTACCTCAGAGGAATTCTGAGAGGCTAAGTGACATCATTCACATACAAAGTGCCCTTACCATAGTGTCTCAGGTACACAGTTGGTGCTCAATATTTTTGTTAGCTACTAATATTCCAGACAGTCAGTGGCGAGCTAGTTTCCTGGTGTGCCTGGATTCAAGTCTCTTGCTTTCAATGAACTTCAATAAATTTTCCTGTCTTTTTTCCATCTGTGGATAATACATTAGAAGGCACAGAGCAGGGACTGAGCCTAAACCCAGTGTCTCTATCACATCACTCACTCACTCACCTGTTTACAGAGCTCTTCTGGGTGCTTGATGCTGGGCTAGGTCTTGTGGATATGCTGGTGGGCCAAACAGACTTTCAGGATGGGGGAAGGCAGAAGTGAATGTAATAATCACACAAAGGGGTAATCACAAAGGTGGCACAAATTCTGAGTTTTCTGAACTGGCAAGAGGGCTTCTTTTTACAGAATGGAAAGCAGAAGACCTCAGTTGATTCTTTAGTGTGTCTGCATTGGTCCAGATTCCCTTTGAGTCAACTTACAGAGCCATTAGCAATCATAATATCCTACAGGCGATGTCTTGCCCTAGCCTTCCTCAGTCCTCTACATTCCATGGGCTGCTCCCAAGAGTTCTTCATTCTAACACCTGCCAAGGTCTTTTGCTATGGAAAACTGCATAACTGCTACCATTTCCCCTTCCTGAGTCCATGGCAGACATCACTAACAGATCACAGAGCTCCCTCCTCTGAATCTTGATTCCCTTTACAAAACAAGTTCCTGGAAGCCACAAAGAATCAAAACCTATTAAGGCTATCCTTCCCCAGGAGAAGCAGAACCCAGAGTACTGAGATGAAAATTGCACCAGAGGCAGCTTTGAACAATGCAACTTAGGAAAAATATACTTGGAGGGCAGAGGTATGATAAGAAGGTGGTGATAACACAGAACCACACTCAGCTTCAAGGAATTATAAGATGGGACTCTGTTTATTTTCAGTACTGACATCAGCCCTGCCCTGCCCTCTCCCTGAATGCCCTGCATGATCTGTAAGATCGGGGCTACCTGGTGGCAGCAGCCAGTGCCTACCTACCTTGGACTTGACAGCCAGGATAATCTTGGGCAAGGCCACAATGAGGCACTTGAGGGCGATGGTGATGTACTTCAGCACAAAGTCTGCAATTCCCACGATCCACAGCAGGTCAAAAAAGTCCAGTGTCTCCAGATTGGGCTTCAGGAATATGAGGCTGGGGGGAGGGTTCAGAGAGTCAAGATGTTCATGCAGGTCCAGGCCCACAGTAGTTTCTTCTACTCATTTAGGAGCCTTGTAAAATCACATGTAGAAAGACGCTGAGCTGGGAGTCACACACCTGTGTCTTTCCTGAGTCTGCTACTAACCTGCTGTGTGGCCTCAGGTGGCTCTCTTAACCTCTTTGAGTCTCAGTTCTCTTACAGGTTAAAAATGATGAGATTGGCCAGGAGCATCATTAAGGTCCCTATCTTAGCCCTTTTCGTGTTCCTATAATAGAATACCCAAGGCCGAGTAATTTCTAAAAAAAAAAAAAGAGCTTTATTTAACTCACAGCTTGGCAGGCTGGGAAGTTCAAGAGCATAGCCTTGACTTCTGGGAGGGCTTTTATGCTGCATCATAACATGGCAGAGCAGGTCAAAAGGGAGGCGGACACTTGTAAAAAGGCAATAAAACCAAACAAAAACCCCAACGGGAGTCCCAGCTTTACAACAACCCACTCTCTGCGCAGTAATGCATTCCCATGAATCCAGTCAACCAGAACAAGAACAGCACCAAGCCATTCATGAAGGCCTACCCAGCCCCCACCTCGGCTCAAACACCTTCCACTAGGCCTCACCTCCTTTCACATTGGGGATCAAATTTCAACATGAGGTTTTTTTTTTGTTTGTTTTTGTTTTTGAGACAGAATCTCACTTTGTGGCCCTTGCGGCTGGGCCTCATAGCCGATAGCAACTTCCAACTCTTGGGCATAAGCGATTCTCTTGCCTCAGCCTCCCGAGTAGCTGGGACTACAGGCGCCCACCACAACGCCCGGCTTTTTTCGTTCTTTTTGCAAGTTTTTTTTTTTGGCCGGGGCTGGGTTTGAACCCGCCACCTCTGGCATATGGGGCCAGCGCCCTACTCCTTTGAGCCACAGGTGCTGCCCGGCTTTCTTTGTTCATGTTGCTGTTTTTTAGCTGTCTGGGGCCGGGTTTGAACCTGCCACCCTTGGTATATGGGGCTGGTGCCCTACCCAGTGAACCACAGATCCCGCCTTCAACATGAGTTTGATGGGGACAAAGCAAACTATAGCAGTGCCCTCCAGTTTCATGGGTCCACAACAGGCTTTACAAGAGGAGGTAAAAGGAAGGAAGGAAAAAAAGAGGAAAGGCAGGCAGGAAGGAAGGAGGGCAGGCCGACACTGCAAAGGAAGGAGGGCAACTGAGGGGTCAGGCAGGCACTGTGCTAAGCTCTTTGCTCCCTGTATCTCACTGAGTCTTTGCAACAGTCCTTTGCAGTAAGCAATGCTTATCTCCAGTTTATAAAGGAGGCACTGAGGCCTGGAGAGATGAAGTAAATTGCCCAAGGTCACACTACATAGGCATAAAGGTATTAGTACCAGACAGACTTGAACTTGAATCTAGGCTTCTCTATTTGTTGGACCCCGGGCAAGTAAAGTTCTCTCTGTAAGCCTCTGTGTTCTCATCAATAAAATGGGAATCATCCCTTCCTGCACAGTGTTATTGGCAGGATTTGACAAGATATTAGACACACTATAGACCCTGCCATGTAACAGTCATTATGATAATAACAATTCTACAGAGAAGGCACTCTTGTTCACCCCATTTTTCAGATGAGGAAACTGAGGCATAGAATGGTGAAGTACCATGCATAATGTTCTACAAATATTAAGGGACAAAGGTGGGTTGGAACCCAGGCATTGTGGCTGGAGTAAGTGTTCTCCATCCTCACTCTGTACCAGTGCTTCTTGGAGTGTGTAAACCCATTTATTCATCTGTGACCAGATAAGTTAAATCTCACACTCAATTTCTGTACTTCCCTCACTGGAGACAGACAAGAAGCAGTTCTCAAAGTGGCACTGGTCCATGGACCACGCTTTGAGTAGCCCTGTTCTCCACCACCTGGAGGGAGAGGATATTACTTGTAATCCTAACTGTGGCTTTGCACATCACGCAGGCCTTGGTCTATGTATTTTACACATCTTACCTCATTTCATCTTCCCAAAGACTCTACAGAGATCCCAATCTGACCTAAGGATGCTGAGGTGCTAAGAGGTGGAGTCGCTTGGGATACGGAGCTAGGATTGGAATCTGCACCCAATCTGGCCTGGTTTCCTTTGCTCCTTTCGTCCTGCCAGATTAGAGGCTCCAGGCGAGGACCAGACTGACTCCAAACTGTCTTCTCCAAAGCAGGCAACAGTGCACTCAGCACAGAGTAAATGCTTTCTATATGCTTTGGAAATGCTCTGCTGGGCTGGCAGGAAAGTGTGCAAAACAAAGCGACTTTATTCTATCATCCTAGGGATAGATTGGTCTGGGGTTTTTTTTTTTTAAGAGTAGGGCAAAATCAGTGACAACAGTCTATTCTGGCTCCTAACACTCTCAGGAACCTTTCCACATCACAGCCCTGTCTCTCTGGGATTCCTCACCTCCAAGTTTCAGTGGCCATTCACGTGGTGACATAGGGAGAAGTCTGTGGCCCTGAGCTTCCGTTTTGGACTTTAATCATGCCCTTCCATGGGGATGACTGGTTGACTTTTATGCTGCGCCAAATCTTCTATGCTTTCGTGATTGCAGTAAAACAAAGACAGGGCTGATGCTTTCCATTTTATCTCAAAGACACCAGTTGGAGTTCATTCATCTATCTGGGTTTTATTCCATCATCTCAGTACTGCTGCTGCTGCTTTTTTTTTTTTTTTTTTTTGGCGTTTAGTAGGGGGATGCAAAAGTGTTTTTCTACAGATTCATCATCAAGTACACTTATTTCCAAAGTACTCTATAAACTTTAATGGACTGATACATTTTATTGTTAGTTTTGCTCCTCCTGAGGCACCACCACCAATAATTATAGTAATTAACCATAAAGTAATATTAATTATAGTATGATTATGTGTCCAGGGTTTTATAGTTTACTCTCATGTGAATTATGACATTTGGCCTTCCTAATTAGCCCGTTTGGGTAGATAAGGCAAGGATTAATTTGATCCTGGTTTTACAGATAAGAAAACAAGGAAAGATTCAAAGAGGTTACATTACTAGCCAAAGTCAAAGCTGGTAAGTGGCAGAATTAAGACTCTCTGATGTGGGCTGTTGAACTGCAAATCCTAAGAAGATTGGAGTTCACCAGAAAGGGCCACCTCTGGGGTGAAAACTCCCTTTAGGAAGGGCTTCATGAGGTCTCAGTTGCCACACCTGTGAAATGGGTCACTAGGAGGTTAAGCTAAGATAACAGTTATTTGGTGTTGCATATAAACACTCTAGACTGGTGACTTCAGTAAGGACAAGGATTCACCACTGTGGCTTTTTATTGTTTGTTTTTGAGATGGAGTTTTGCTATGTCACCCTTGGTAGAGTGCTGTGGCATCACAGCTCACAGCAAACTCAACCTCTTGGGCTTAAGTGAGTCTCTTGCCTCAGCCTCTCAAGTGGCTGGGACTACAGGTGCCGGCCACAATGCCCAGGTATTTTTTTGTTGTAGATGTCATAGTTTAGCAGGCCCAGGTTGGGTTCGAACCCAACAGCCCCAGTGTATATGGCTGGTGCCCTAACCACTTAGCTACAGGCACCGAGCCTCTGTGTCTTTTTTTTAAAGCCACTCTCTTTCTCTTTCTGTGCTGCTGGTTTGACTTAGCCCGCACTGATGGGGGCACAGAGGTCTGAGCCTAGGAACATGCCCAGAAAATGGCATAAGCTGGAAATTCAGCCAAGGTTCTGGGAAACTCCACCTCCTACGCCCTCCACTTGTGCTTTGACATTTGGGAGTGTGCAACTAATGCAGTGTATGAGATGTGTGTTGATGTCTTGAAACTAAATCCACAAATTGCCTTTAAGAAGTGGCCTCAGAACGTAGTAAAACTGCTCACTCCTCACAGTCCATTTTCAAACTGATGGGCAAGACCTGAAAGCCTGACTTGAGTTTTGACCCTGTGCTAGAGGTCCTCACTAGTTGACCCTCCACCCAACTCCTGTTTTCTGTTTTTTTTTTTTTTTTTTTTTTTAATTTTTAAGAGATAGGGTGTTGCTTTAACTTCCAGGGTAGAGTCCAGTGGCATTGTCATAGCTCACTGCAGCCTTCAACTCCTGGGTTCAAGTGATCTTCTTGCTTCTGTCTCCTAACTAGGTAGGATGACAGGTGCATGCCCTGGTAACATTTTCTTATTCAGTGATTCCCATTTTTAAGAAAAATGAAGCGAAATTGCTTGGCACAGTGGCACATGCCTATAGTCCTAGCTACTTGGGAGGGTGAGGTAGAGGATCACTTGAGTTCAAGGCTGCAGTGAACTACAATCATGCCACTGTCCCCAGCCTAGGTGACAGAGTAAGATCCTGTTTCTTAAAAAAAAAAAAAAAATGGCCAGGCACAGTGGTTCACATTTGTAATCCTAGCATTCTGGGAAGCTGAGGCAGGTGGACTGCTTGAACTCAGGAGTTTGAGAACAGTCTAAGCAATAGCGAGACCCTTCTCGCTACCAAAAATAGAAAAATTAGCCAGGTGTTATGGTAGATGCCTGTAGTCTCAGCTACTCAGGAGGCTGAGGCAGGAATACTGCTTAAGCCCAGGAGTTTGAGGTTGCTGTGAGCTAGGCTGATGCCACTGCACTCTAGTTGGGGTGACAGAGTAAGATTAAAAACAAACAAACAACAACAACAAAAAGAGGCTAACTCTAAATGTATTCCACTTACAGGATTGTTTTTTATTCCTAATACATTCTTTGGTGACCCAATACTCACACTTTTATGAAATGACATTGGTGGTCATTTTTTTCTAATTGTGGTAAAACACACATAATGTGAAATTTACTGTCTTAACCATTATTATGGGACAGTTCAGTGGTTGTAAGGACATTCAAGGTGCTCCACAATCGTTAACCACCATCCAACCACTGACCCTTCTTCATCTTGCAAAACTGAGACTCTGCACCCCTGAACAATAACGCCACATACCCACTTTGTGCTTATTCATTCATCCATCCGTCAATGGACACTTGGTTGCTTC